CACATTGTGCTGCAGGAGTTTTAACATCGATCTGAACAACCAGACGAGACTATGATTTAAAGTCTCATCCAAAGGATGGCATCTTTCACAATGAGTGCATCCCAACACTGCATTAATGTCAGTTTAGACAATGATATACTTAACTATAATCATGACAAAAACAGAGGCTTATCGATTTCTGTTTTAAATAATGAAATAGTGCCATGCCTATCATTAGATACCATTAAATTGAAAATTCTGTTTGTGTTCTTAGCTGCAAAGTATCCTTAATAGTGTTACTTATATGTTCACTTTAATTTGACTCTGTGAATAATAATAATAATCTTTGCATTTGATATAGCGCTTTTCATGTCTTCTAGACGTCCCAAAGCACTTCACAGAATATTCTGTAAAGTGAATTGACTGCATATTTGTGGGCGAACGCAGCAGCCAATTGCGCACAGCAGTGTCCCACAAACAGTCGTAGATTGAAAATGACCAATTTATTATTGTTTTTTGGAGGGATTATTATTAGGTGTGTGGAGTAAGGAAACTTGCCCAAGGTTTCGCCCTGCCTGGAATTGAACTCAGGTAGTTGAGTACACAGATTAGCGTAGGTTTGACTAATGGATGGATTTTCTAAGATACTTGTTAACATGGCTACAACATTCATTGGTGAATATTGTTTTTGTATAATATTGTAGTTAATTATGAATTTTATTTTAAAAGCAGAATTCCATTGTTCTAACAACTTTGTTAGCCACCAATGCCATTGTTTGGTCCAGTGTAGTATGATTGTGATTACCAGGCCAAGCAAATTAATGTCAGCAACTAAAAAGAGATTTTTACTCTTATAGTATAGGGTGATGGTCTTGACCATTATTATCTTTGTTTTCTCAGAGCTGAAGATAATTCTCAGCAGCATTGCTTATGTGGCCAAGAGCAGGTGTTAAATAGCAGCAGCAGCAACAACAACAACTTGCATTTATATAATGCTCTTCACCCGCTTAACAGTGGCAGAGCTGATGCCAAATCAGGGAGAGGCAGGAGGCAACCACAGACAAGGTTGAACAGGAACATCTTCAGGTGTGATCTGAAGATGGACAAGGAGGAGGCAAGGTGGAGCGATTGAAGCAGAGAGCTCCAGAATCTTGTGGCATAGTGGTTGAAAGCACAATGGTGGAACAGAGGGGACCTGGGACGTGAAGGAGGCCGAAGCCAGCTGAGCGAAGGGGGCAGGTAGAGGGATGGGTGTAAAAAATCAGAGAGGCAGATGGTGCCAGGGAATGAAGTAATTCATGCACAAGTCTTGAAGATCTTGGAATTGATCTGTTCTGCAATCAGAAGCCAGTGGAGCCTGTCACCAACTGGGGTGGATTAGTATGGATTAGAATATAGGCAGCAGAGTTTTGAATTAATTGGATTTTATGAATGCTGGAGCTGGGAAACTGGCAAAGGAGGCACTGGAAAACTTGAGGCAGGAGGTGACAAACGTGTCGAAAAGGGTTTCAAAAGGCATTAGGTGTGAGATATGGTTGGACGAGTGCGATGTGGCAGAGGTGAAGGAAAGCGTGCTGGTCAGGGAGGGGCTGTGGGGTAGGAAGGACAGGTGGGCATCGAACCTGATGGCAAGGTTGCAGATAAGTTCAGTAAGTCTGAAGGATGGGCCAGGGAGGTGATGAATTTTGTTATACTGTAGTGTCATGCATAGTCACTCATATGCAGTTTATTTCCTGCTGCCTAGATATCCTTGTCCCAAAGTAAATGAAAGGGAGGGAAATTGCAGGGCAACAGAAACCCTTAGGCAACCTGTGAACCATTTCCATTTGAACTGTAGGTTCTAATAATCTATATGCTAAATGCAGCATAAAGATATCAAAGAAGTTCACTGATATAAAGCATCAATACTAATTAATGTCAATGCTCATCCTCCTAAAACTAAGTAGTGAAAATACTGTAATGGGTGCTTGTATATGCTTGGAGTGTCAGGGATCGTATGCTGTATTAGCCTTGCAGTTCTGGTGGTAATTTGTGTTTTATACTACTGTTTCTCTCACTGGAGACATTAAGCAAACATGGCAGGGTAGACGTATGTCTGTACTACATTTATAGACCCTGGCTTTCAGCGCCTTGGGATGTCCTCCCGACATGAAATGTGCGATACAAATGTCATTTTATTGTTTTTGTTGTTAAACCCATTACTCGTTACACTACTGAGGATATCATTAATCTTGGCCCTGCCGGTTTTCATTGTGAAAAGTAAAAAGAAAATACCTAGGCTGTATGCCTTTAAGAGGAGGTGTGGTGCTTTTATTTGTATACAGTATATGTATTTCTAGAGAAAATCTGAAAAAGATGGGAGAAAGAAACGAGACTTAAGAGGATTTGAGATTTGTTCACAAATCAGTGAAGCAGAGGTTGTTTGTATGGCATTAAGTTATTATAATGCAGTATACTGTTTTTGTTGCATGTGGTGCCTGATGAAATCCCACCTGAAAACCTACCTCCTTCCTCCCTTGCTCAGCACCCAAAGCCGCAACGTGCAGCATTCTGAAACACTCTCCTGCGTGAAGGGCACTAAAGAAATACAAGTTGTTGTGTTGTTGATGCCTTCTACAAACAACTTTATACCATATTAATGGGCATCTTATTTGGAAGAAATCCTCAGTAAGATTCCGAGAAGTATATGTTATAACATACCAACAGGCATTACGAAATGTGAAATTGGATTACAATGTAGCAAATTTTAGGTATTATGTAACAAGACCTCAGTTGGTTCAGGTGCTGATTTCTGTCTAGACATTTTTCTGCTTCCCTAATCCAACTTGAAGGATGATTCTTTTGTGTTAATTTTTTACTGCTGTTAACAATTCTTTGATGAGGGATGTATCACAGCAAGTACTATAATTGCTGTCATGATTTTGTACCTGATTACGCATCGTATTTTCCAAATGCAAATGGTGTCAGCCTGGCTCAGTTATTAGCACTCTTGCCCCTGAGTCAGAAGGTTGTAGGTTCAAGGCCTACATCTCACTTTGGGACATTTGACACTCCAATGCAGTGGTGGGGGAGATGTCGTCCTTTGAATGAGAGATTAAACCGTAGCCTTCCTGCCTATTTAGACAGTCATTAAAATCCCATGGCCTTGTTTGCAAAGAGAAGGGAGTTTCTCCAACAGTCCTTCAGATAAAATTGCTCATTCACTTCATGTCTTTTTGAATTACATTATTTTTCGCAAGTTGGCTACCCCTGTAAACACACAGTCACTTTATAGGTAATCCTGTGAAACTCTTTGAGACATTTTGACAGTGTGACAAAGTGCTATATCAAATAGGAAGATTATTATACTACTAGCTGTACCCATTGCAGCTATGCTTGCAACCAAAGAATCCAATATGGAATATAGATTGACACACAGACAGACACACAGTCAGGCATTTAATCTTTATTCATAATCCTGTCAGTGGACTCATTTTGGCTATGCAATTCTTTGTTGTTGTTGTTGTCATGGCTTTGCTTCGTCTGTGTTCTTTATTTTGTTCCCACTGCCACTTGGCTATGTGCGTGCTCTGTGACGCAGGATGTGACAGCGTCACAGTCAGCCAGCGCGACCCCCAGGTGTAACTGCAGTGTGTGCGTATGTACGTAGGTACTCTGTGATGCATGATGCCACAGCTCCACTTTCCTGAGTTCAATTCCAGGCAGGGTGAAACCTTGGGCAAGTTTCCTTACTCCACACGCCTAATAATAATCCCTCCAAAACTAAAAACAATAATTAAATTGGTCATTTTCAATCTACGACTGTTTGTGGGACATTGCTGTGCGCAATTGGCTGCCGCGTTCGCCCACAAATATACAGTCAATTCACTTTACAGTGTGTTCTGTGAAGCGCTTTGGGACGTCCTCCCGACGTGAAAAGCGCTATATCAAATGCAAGGATTATTATTATTAGTAGTATTTGAGTGGACAACTCATTTGGTGTGCTGTTGTGGTCCTTTCAGCATTGAAGTGCAGCCACGCTGTTCTTTGTTCTTTAGTTTCATTTAATGGGCCTTCTCTCTTTTGTCCAGCATTTTTACTTATGCTTGACAGGTTTGATTTTCGCTTAGGCATCTTTATTATGATAAATATAAATGTATAATCAATAATCACTGGGAAGTCCTCCCGATTTGAAAGGCGCTTTAAAAATTTAACTTTGTTGTTGTTGTTGTCATGGCTTTGCTTCGTCTGTGTTCTTTATTTTGTTCCCACTGCCACTTGGCTATGTGAGTGCTCTGTGACGCAGGATGTGACAGCGTCACAGTCAGCCAGCGCGATCCCCAGGTGTAACTGCAGTGTGTGCGTATGTACTCTGTGATGCATGATGCCACAGCTCCACTTTGACTTGGCAGCCACCAGATGTAACTGGAGCGGAAAAAGCAAAATTGAACACTAAAAACACCAGTGTAAATCATAAAATGATTTTGGGCTATTACAACCCAAAGGAGGCTGTTTTACGCCTCTACAATGCAGTAACATCGGCAGTTAATCTGGTCCAACAACAACAACAACTTATATAGCACCCTCCACGCAGGGCATTGTCCCAGAGCACTTAACAGTGGCGGAGCCTGACTCTGAGCCAGGGAGTGGGGGTGGTGGGGGAGGTGGCCGTAAACACAGTCAAAGAGGAAGATTTTCAGGCAGGACTTGAAAAGGGGCGAGAGGGGGCAAGGCGTTGGGATTGAGGGAGAGTGTTCCAGAGTTTCGGGGCATAGTGGCTGAAAGAGCGACCTCCAATAGCAGGGCGGAGGGTGCGAGGGATGAGCACGAGGCCGTTGCCAGTCGAGGCGCCTGGTGGTGGATTGGGGATTGAGGAGGTCCGAGAGTTATGGAGGTACCAGAGAGTGAAGGGATTTGAACACGAGTGTGAGGATCTTGAAGTTGAGGTCCAGCTGTTTCAGTGTTAAGCAATCCATACTTTTGACTAATCAAAGAACCTACCATTAATATACATTTTATGCTTTGTTTTTTCTTCTCACCAGATGATTCAAACCACCAAAGCTCTGCTAGAAAATGGTGATGGAGTGTGTGAAAAAGTAGTGCAGTGTCAAAAAGCAGGTACGTGTTGACTCTGATGCAGGGAGCCATAAAGCTTCAACAGCTGTTCTTTACAGCTGCACTCTCCACCTCTCAAAGCCAGTCAGGAACCTCGGCGTTTTGTTCGACCCTGAGCTGTCCTTTCTCCCTCACATCCGCACCACAACTGGCACCGCCTTCCATCACCTCCGGAATATCGCCAGATTACGGCACTACCTCACCCCTCACGCCGCTGAAACCCTGGTCACGCCCTTGTCACCTCAAGGCTGGACTATGGGAACTCTCTCCTCGCCGGCCTTCCCGCCACCTCCCTCCACAAGCTGCAGGTCATTCAGAACTCTGCAGCTCGTGTACTGTCCCGCACCAGGCTTCGCGATCACATCACTCCCACCCTCGCTCGCCTCCACTGGCTCCCCCCCAGAGGATCGATTTCAAGATCCTCATCCTCACCTACAAGGCCATTCACGGCCTCGCTCCCTCCTACCTCTCCAACCTACTATCCCCCACCTACCTGCCCGTACCCTCCGTTCCTCTGGCTCCGGTCTGCTCCACGTCCCCCGCCCCAACCGCCCTACTATCGGTGGTCGGGCCTTCAGCCTCTCAGCCCCCAGGCTCTGGAACTCCATCCCCCAGTGCCTTCGCCGCCTCCTCCCTTTCCTCCTTCAAGGCCGGTCTCAAAACCTTTCTCTTTGACCGTGCCTTCAGCTCCCCTCTCGACTCTCTTCCTCCTCCTCGCTCCCTCCCTTCCCTCCCCTCACCCTGACCATTTCCCCCTCCTCTCTCCCTCCCTTCCCTCCCCTCACCCTGACCATTTCCCCCCAATGCTCGGGTCATGACCCAACTGTGCAGCGCCTTGGGACGTCCTCCTGACGTGAAAGGCGCTCTATAAATGGAATCTTGTTGTTGTTGTTGTTGTTGTTTACCAATTGACAGTGAGCTCCTCTAATTTATTAGTTAGAGATGAATTTATTATTTTGTCTTAACACTCTGCATAATTTGTAATTCAGTGTAGGTGAATAAATTGGCTAATAAATTAGCCATGTTGAACCATGTTGAACCATAATAAACCATGTTGAAAGTAGCTGTCTAAACTCATTCCTTTAAGGTAGAAATCGTTTAAAGTTCAGCCGGTGATGACTCTAGTGGGAAAAGTAACTGTACAATCTCAGGTTGATCCTGGTCTGTTGAACAGCCATGACAGCCGGTGGGAAATAGGAAGGGGATGGAGGTGAGAGGTGGTAATATAATGCAATTAACGTGTTACAAAATGCTGGCTCATACGTTTACATCGTTGTTATTACAAAACGTTAGAATAGATTAGCACTCAAGAAAGGAGATGTTTTGGAATATCATCCTTAGCCCTTTTTCAGAAATCTCCAGGTACTGTTTTTCTCCTCTGTTCCTTTGAACCTCCAGTATAGAACAGACAATGAATCTCAAACAGTCATAAAATAATAATAAAAGAATCATTTAATGAACGTACATGAATGTTTGTATCTGAAAAGGGAAGGTATTGTCTATCACATCAATGTTGAAAATGCAGTTTTCTAGAAAAATTAAGATTGGAAACTTTTAATTGCCTTTTTAAAATGCAATTTACAATAAATTAGCTTGTGCTCAGCCTCTCTTCCTTTTGTCTTTGATGTCCTATTGGTACAACCAAAAGTAAAACTCGGTGCAGAAATATTGTGTTTCTTTATGAATGTATCCGATGACATACGATGACATGCTAATTCTACTTTTATCTTCTTTACTCCACATGAAATCTTGCATATCTCTTCACGAACAGCACCTAATTACTGACATTAATGTATGCTTATACATTCCTTTCATTTGTTTTTGTTAAGTCATCAAACAGGCAATTTTCCTTTCATAGCTGATAGGACTAAGACTTGCGTCACTTGACATAAGTACCAGGGGACTTTTACTAGCACAAGAATAAATAAATTATTCTGTCTCCTTCTGCCTGAAAGGCCATTATTGCTTATTTTTGAGGTGATCTTTATTTCTATTTTCTATGTTTTGGGAAAACAAGAACTCTCTTCCCACTGCTTAAGTGTATGGTGATAATCTTGATGATCATCTGCCTTAATTCAACAGCAAATAAGTCATGCTTTGATGTAAATTAAATTGTGCTCATGGATATGCAGCAAGAAAGTAGAGTGTCCTTGAATTATTTTTTGTCACTCCACTTGACAGAGAAGCAATTTCACAGAGAAAAAATAATTATTAATAATTATTATTAATCATTAAGTTTGTAAATACATTATTTGTGGTTGGTTCATTATTGGAAATATCTAAATCAGTCCAGTATATATTTTACATATACTAAATAATAAATACATACATATTTTATATATACTAAATAATAAACTCTTGAGAGAAATTAAGGCAATAATCTAATTAAATTCTTTGGATGGGATCATAAAAAAAACAGAATTAGAATTTATAGCAATGAGCTGTTTTTATGATATATAGTAAACTCCTGATAACTCAACCCTGACTTACCTTGTCACTACCACTTAAGTCATCATGCTGTCAAAATCCCGGCCGCAGCTATTTATGTATTCATGCACATGCCTAATTCGCCAGTCCTTTGCCCTTCGAGTGATGAGTTTACTGTAATCTGAATATTACAAACTGGTTCTTATTTGGGTTTGTGTCTGAAATGCTTGTCATTGCTGACAGGGGCAGCTTGTGTACTTTTTACCATCAATTCCAGGTAACATTTACCCCAATACATGAAGTAACCATACTGATTCAACTCAACAAAGGCAGAATTAAGATGGGATAATGATAATAATAATCCTTGCATTTGACATAGCGCTCTTCATGTCTTCTAGACATCTCAAAACGCTTCACAAAATATACTGTAAAGTGAATTGACTGTATATTTGTGAGATCTACTGTACCAGCACTCCAACCTGTGATCTCAGGATCTACAAATCCAATGACCACTATAAGTTGGCCAATGGTCACATTAAGCGCTCTGGGACTCTACCCTGCGTGAAGGGCACTATATAAATGCAAGTTGCTGTTGTCATTCTAGCCACTGTCAGTCTTGGTTATCAACTGATCTCATAGACTGCCTTTATCAAAGAGTTGGTGATTACTAATTAACACATCACACTCTGCTGTTTTCACCCTTGATCCAAGCAAAATATTTACGTTGCCGTCTTTTAATTTTTAACAATGTGCAGGTCTTTTTTTATTCTGAATTTCTATTAAGACATGACTTTTGTGCATAACTTGGCAGGCTGCTTAACAACAACAACTTGCATTTACATAGCATTCTTCACATGAGTAGTGTCACAGAGTGCTTCACAGTGGTGGAACTTGACTCTGAGCCTGGAAGAGAGGGGAGGTGACCATAGGAAACGTCAAAGAGGAAGGTCTTCAGGTGTGAACTGAAAGCATATAAGATGGAGGGATTGAGGCAGAGTTCTATAGTTTGGGGGCATAATGACTGAAAGCATGGCCATGGATGGTGGAGTGGAGGGGACGAGGGATATACAGCAGATCAGATCTAACTGAGTGAAGGCGGCGGGTCGAGGAGTTGGGTGTAAGCAGGTTGGAGAACTATGGAAGTGCCAGGGTGTGAAGTGATTTGTACACAAGTGTGAGGATCTTTAAATCAATCTGTTCTGTAATAGGGAGCCATTGAAGCTTGTGAAGGACCGGGAGTATAGAGTATAGAGTTTGGTGTGGATGAAGGTACAGGAGGTGGAGATTTGAATTAATTGAATTTTATGAATGGTGGAGCTGGGGAGGCTGGCAAGGAATGATCGAGGCGGAAATTGATGAATGTGTAGATAAGGGGGTTTGGTTGTATTGGGTGTGAGATGTGGTCAGAGGCAGACAATGTGCCGGAAGTGGAAGAAAGCGGTCCTGGTCAGGGATCGGATATGGAATAGGAAAGACAGCTGGGGATTGAACCTGACGCGTAGGTTATGCGCAGTTTCATTAAGTCTGAGGCATAGACCAGGAAAATTGAGGAGGTTGGAGCCACAGGTGAGAACATGTTGATGGGAGCCAAGGTGGATGGCTTCTATCTTGTCAACATTCAGCTGCAGGACATCGGTACTCATCCAAGCCTTGATATCTGAAAAGCAAAAGGACGGAATATCTGTGGACCTGGCATGGAGAAGGAGAATTAGATTTGGGTATTATCTCTATACATGTAGACGTTAACCCCATATCTGCAAATGGCATCACCGAGAGGGAGCATGTAAGAAGGGGCGGTAAGGATGTTATGCCACAGGTGACCTAGCGGGCGTGGGGAGGAAAAAAACATTTGTGGAAAATAAATGAAGGCGGTTGGTTAAGCAGCATTCAAACCAGCTGAGTGCGGTCCCACTAAGGTAGATGAAGGAGGAGAGGTGGTTGGGGAAGATGGCATGATCAACTGTGTCAAAGGCAGTGGAGAAGTCCAGGAGGACAAGGAGACAGGGAGTCCTGGTTACAGGGAGAAAGGATATAATTTGTGACTGTGACGAGCGCTGTCTCTGCGGTGGGCAGGGTGGAAACTGGACTGGAGCAACTCGAATACAACAACAACAAACTTATATTTGTAAGGCGCCTTTCATGATGGGAGGATGTCCCAAGGCACTGAATAGTCTGGGATCAGGACCCGAGCGTTGGGAGCCACGGTTGGGGTGACAGAGGGCAGAGGGGTAGGAGGGCGGCTGAAAGCGCAGTCGAAAAGGAGCGTCTTCATACGGGCCTTGAAGGAGGCAAGGGAGAGCAAGGCGAAGGGACTGCGGGACGGAGTTCCAAAGGATGGGGACAGAGAGGCTGAAAGCCTGGCCGTCGATGGCAGCTTGCGTTGAAGGGAGGCATGGAACAGGCTGCTGAATGGAGGGAGCGGAAAGGTTGATAGGGGTTCAGCAGTTCAGAGAGGTAGGAAGGGGCAAGGCCATGGAGGACCTTGAAAGTGAGGACAAGAATTTTGAATTCTATCTTTAAGGGACAAAGGAGGGAGTTTCCGTAGTTGAGCCTTGAGGTGACAAATGCGTGTATGA